GTTTATACACTCCACAATTACAGATGCTTATATGAAAGTTTATATGGCATCTCAAATGGAAACTTTACATCACTCACATATGTATATAAAGTTTGTGCTTATATATGTATATAGGTATGTATATATATAAGCAAATGTATGTATGTTATATACATAAATATATGCTTTTTATATATGTATATATATAAAATCTGTACAACTCGTGTAGAAATGCTGGTGGATTCCCAGAGGACTCCCAGGTGGATCCGTTCAGCATTTTTTCACCTGTTTCTTCTCACTGAGCAATATTATCTCTCTCCTTGATAACGGTCTGAAGTTTTGGCAGTCCCCTTTCTAATTTAACGTTGCTACTGCCTATTTTTCTAGTATATTGCATCCTTGCCAATAGCGATTTCATCAGCCTTGTGTGGGGTATTCCTAGTGAGATATCCTAGACTTAAGTCTGGTAACACAAACTTTAGATTTTTCTTTTTAAAACAAATTATTCATAAAAATTAAGTAAAATCAAGTTATAGTACATAATAAAATGAATATTTTACAAAAAATTTGCCAGGTCTTAGTGAGTCCTGCATTTAACTTGCTAAGTCTTTGCTGCCTTTTGTCTAAATTGGGGTATTAATAATCTGTATCTCATAGTATTATGAGAACTAAATAACAAATTGCTCAATATTGTGAGCTCTTATGATTAGTTCTCAACATTTTTCAAGTAATTGGTTAATTAGGAAATATTAAAATGCAGGCATCATTTTTCCTAGCCAGGGTAATTTTCACAATAATATAAAATTATTTCTCCATAAACAGAAATATGAAAAGCTTTAATAAATTCAAGTCACTTAGTTGCCATTTGGCTTTCAAACACAATAATTTCCGAAGTGCTGCTCAGGTCACCTACAGTTTTTAATGCCCGTTACCAATGAGCACTGATTTTGCACCAGAATATTTGCTCAATAAACATTCAACAAACAAGTAACAAAGTGACTTTGTCAGATTATTTCCCATATCTTTTGGCCTTGTGATCAATGTAGCACCCAGCTACAGAGAACAGGAGGGAATAGGCTGTGCCTTAACAATTTTTGATTCAGTATTACAATAAGTGGATCAATAGAGAATAAGCTCAATTATCTTACAGATTTTTTGAAATGTCAAATTGGTAGAATTAAGCTTTGAGCATTTCCCAAAATTTTCATCAGGAGTAGAAGAAACATGGGCAAATATTAAATAAGTATAGACTGTGTTTATCTGCAAAATGCTCATGATTTTGCTTGGCTGAAATGTGGGCAATCACAGAGAATGGAAAGTATCAAAAGTCGCAATGCTGGATATGAAACAGTCACCACAGGGCCTGGCACATTGAAGCTCTTCAGAAAATGAGAATTCCCGTTCTCTGCTCCCTAGGCTGTCACTGCTCTACATCAGCCAAGAGCTTGTTGCAGTAGTCCCAGAATGCTACTTCAACAACACTGCCACAGCACTGTCTTTCCAAGACACTCTAACTGCTACTGGACTTCCTAACCGATTTGGCACTTAGCATTTACTGCCTGGTATCATGAAAACTCTTTCCACACGTTGCAGCCTGTCTCCTCCAAACTGAATCATAAGCTACTTGAGGGAAGATTTGTTTTTACACTTCTTTGATTTCACGGTATGCTGGGTGACCAATTGCTTAAGACCCATACATTCATATCACATCTCTCATGCAAGGAAACCATCTGCTATTAATAAGGTTCAAAACTCAAAGTGATATCATGAATTAAGGTCATTAAGAGAACATGGTAATTGTTCTTACTCATAAGTGGATGTTGAACGATGAAAACATATGGATGCAGGGAGGGGAACATCACATTCCGGGGCCTGTCAGGGGGTGGAGGGCTATGGGAGGGAGAGCAGGGAGTGGGGTGTAGAATAGGGATAGCATTAGGAGAGATGTCTAATGTAGAGGTTGGGGTGATGGATGCAGCAAACCACCATGGCACGTGTATACCTATGTAACAAACCTGCACATTCTGCACATGTATCCCAGAACTTAAAGTATAATAATAATAATAAGGAGCATTTCCTAACTCATTTAATGGAGGTAGTATAATTTTGATATTAAAATTATATAAGGTCCTGATAGAAAAGGAAAATGCAGGCCAATATCTCTCACAAATATGGACACAAAATTTTAAATGTATTAACAAACTGAATCCAGATCTATGAGTTTTAGAAAGTAATGCATCCTAATCAATCAATTTATGTTTATCAATCAAGTTATAATTTAATTATATTAATTTGTGTAAATAATTATCTTGATTGATAATCAACATAATCAAGTTATATTTATCCCAGGAAAGTTAAGTCTGATTTAGTTATAGAAAGTCACGTAATTAATTTACCACAACAAAAAATAAACAAAAGATAAAAATATATGATAGTCTATTTGTTATATGAAATAATAATGGTGACAAACCCATAGATTTGCTTAAAAAATTATGGTATTGTGTTAGAACACTTAGAACAGAAAATGGAGCATAAAACAACTAATAAATGTTTATGTTTTATTATATATTAATGTTGGCATATAATAGGCATTCAGTAAGTATTTGGTTATACATTTGATATGGTTTGGCTGTGTCCCCATCCAAATCTCAACTTGAATTGCAGTTCCTATAATCTCCACATGTTGTGTGGAGGGACCTGGTAGGAGGTAATTGAATCATGGGGGCTGCTTTTTCCTGGGTTATTCTCCTGGTAGTGAATAAGTCTCAGGAGATCTGATGGTTTTATAAAGGGCAGTTCCCCTGCACGTGCTCTCTTGCCTGCCACCATGTAAAATGTGCTTGTGTTCCTCCATTGCCATCACCCTGTTTGTGAGGCCTCCCAGCCATGTGGAACTGTGAGTCCATTAAACCTTTTTCTTTAAAAATTACTCAGTATTGGGGTCCAAAGTGGCTCCCGCTGGAGGTCATGGCGCTCGCGAAGGCGAGGTCATCAGTTCAAGGCTAACCTCATAAGCTCAAACTGATTGGCAAAAAAAAAAAAAAAAAAAAAAAAATTAGTATTGGGTATGTCTTTATTAGCATTGTGAGAACAAACTAATACATTTGAATACATAAATGGTTGAATCAGGCCTGTTATTTTCCTTCCTTCCTATTGTGCCTCTATCTAGCTTGTTCTTTTCTTCCTGCTTAAAAAAAATTACATGCACTAATTCATGTTATCCAAATTTGTAAAAAAAAAACTGTTAAATGCTATATAGTGAAAAGTCATTCTTTGCTGTTGACTCTTATTAAAATTTCTTTGTGCATTAAGAAGTATCATTCATACGTTGGCTCTCCTTAGCCTGCTTTCTACTGTTAGGGTTTTCTCTACTCTTTTTAAGTTTGTTCCTTTCTGTCTTTATCACTCACTCTTTTTCTTTCTTTTGCCTGCCTGCCTGCTTTCTGTCTTTGATCTCTCTCTCTCCCCTCCCTCTTTTTTTTCTCTCTTCTTTTTCTTCCTTCCCTTCAGTTCCTTTTGCTTTCCTTCTTTTTATCCTTTATGACTCATTATATTCTTTGCAATATCTATTCCCTTTTTCCTTCAATTTTATCTTTGTGCATAAGATGGCTTTGCTTTTTTCTTTTACATTTTTGCTTTGCTATTTTAGCTTATTTTTAACCTATCTTTTCTAAGATACTTCATTTTTGTTTGTGATCTTTAATAACAGCAGTAGCTTTATGAATATATTTAGAATTATTGTATTTTGTTAGCATGATCTCTGCAAATATGAATGGTCTGTGATTCTTCGTGAGTTGAGCCTTCTTCTCTACCAAACTTGCTCACTTGGCACTCTTACTTATAACAAAAGAGTTTGATAACTTCTGCACTTTGTATCATGAACCTCACACTTTAGGAAGTGTATTTTTGCTGATGCTTTCTGAGATTTGACATGCTAGACCCTCTTGTCACTTCTCATCTCTTCTCACATTTGGCACTACCAGTCTCAGTTTTTGCAGCCTTTATGTATATTTATGAATTAATTATAGCTGTCTCTTTAACTGAATATGGAACTTGCTGGCTTTAAAAAATATTCTCAATGCTTTAAAAAATGTGATTTCCTTGAAGAGAAGTATAAAATGCAGACTATTTTGTTATGTTCATATAAGAAATATATGTTCCTTGTTTTTGATTGCCATCAAATTCTCTAGAGAGCATATTGGGCAAGTTTCCTAACTTTTTTAATGTTTTGAGATTTCCCAAGTAAGTGTATTTGGGGCTTTCATTCCAGGAGTGGGGATAGATGTTTGCTGAATCAACCACCCTTTTGCACTGAGTCTCTTATAGAAGAGTTGCCTAGAGAAGTGTGAAGACTATGAAAATACAATTCACATCTAAAGGAAATTTGTTTTGTTATTGGGAGAAGTACTGCTGGATTTTGCTAATACCCTTGCTTTATAGAGAGCAGCATTTATTCGTAGTCATATAATATTACATCAGCGATAGAATCACAGGTGCCTCTTGTCTTTCTTCATCACTTGAAAGATGAAGAAACTGAGAGAAGAGTTTGAAATGGACTTGATCCCTAGATTCAAGGCCACAATGTGGACCAAAAAGAGGTCATATGTAAAAGTAAGTTGGAGGATCTAGGGAAAGTCATGTTCTAAGCCACTGTTCAGAGTACATATCCTAGTGGGCAGGGCAACTGGGTATTATAAATTTGCCTACATAGCCACCTCTTACTTCATCTTACCTTTGCAGGTTAAACAAGTAAGTTGGAGGAGGTAATGATTCTATGTGGGAGCCCCACATGTTAATCTTGCCCCATTCTTCTCAAATGCATGCTCTAGTGTGTCAATCACTCAAGTCTCTTTTTATATGAAACCACAGAGCAACAACAGTGTTGCATCTAGACTATCTAATTTGCACTTTTAGAATCTTCCAGTGTTAACCAATTTATCTCTACGGTATTTCAGGACAGAGCAAACAGGAGTGACAGGCAGGCACAATTCCTCTTCTTGCTATAAAAGATGTTCTCTTACCACCAATCAGCATGGTGCAGATGGAGAAGATCTTTTCTGCATCTGTATTAGCAGAAACGTTTCCAAAACCCACGCTGGTGAGGCTGCTCAGCGTGAAGTACAGAGCGGCAATATAGGCACTTCGGATCGATGGGCCCCCCAAGGTATTGTTTCCATAGTATGGAGATTCCAGTCTCTTTCCCAACTCATGAAGCCAACCTGTAATGGAGGAAATAATGCAAGTTAGAGAACAAAAACTAAAGTCTTAGTATTAGCACATAAGAGTAATAATATATGAACATTTGGGGAGGTAATAATTTGCTCGGGGGAAGAAGAAGGTAAAATGGAAATTAAAGGCAAGCTCTATTAGATTTCACTCTATAAAAGTGAAAATATAATTTTACTCATGTTGTTCTCTATAATACACACAACATATAAATATGAATTCCTGACTGGATTGATGGTCAAGGCTAACCGAGTTACTCTAATGCAAGAAACAAACTGTAAGGATGGCTACTCTCAGAAACAATGTTGTCTATTTCACTTGCCCTGTTAAGCTCATCTCATTTGGAATTATCTGAAGCAAAAAGATTGAGTAAATATTTCAAAACACAACGTGATGATAAATTACAACATCCCTGAGTCTAGACTTCAGAAGTGAAAAGTCTAGAAGTCTAGGTGAGATGGACTTTATTTCCATTATGTAAAACTCTTCCCCTTTGTATTCACTTGGGCCTGTATCCAGTTACCTCACAAATCTCAGCTCATGTTACTTTACTCAGGAAGCTTTTTCTGCAGCCCCATTCTGAAATTAGGGTTGGAAGAGGGAAAATTTGTACAAGTAATGAATACTTACAATCTATTAGAATTGAACGCCCATCTACAAACTCTTTTATGATACTATGTATATATGTATCCAAATTTATCAAATTAAATGCATTATAAATATATACATAGTTAATTGTATATTAATTATGCTGTCAGAAAGCCGTAAACAACCTATATTAATAAACATGAGAAGATAGTAAGTATCATCTTAATACTATTATCTAGAATTTAAACACAACACAAAAACACTTTGAAATTTTTTATTGAAAATTTGTCCTTTAAGATTTTATATGTGTCCCTCAAGATTTTATATTTTATGATTCTCTCCTTCTCTCTATGTGTATGTGTTGCAACAAACAATATCAATGCAGCTTAACTCCTAATGTTCATAAGGCTTTTTCTAATGGATACTAACTACTACTTTCTAATAAACATTTCATTGAATGGCTGCTCAAGAGATGAAAACCCATTGCACTCTTAAGCAGTAATAATGTTATCATTATCAACTAAGCTTATAGATTATAAAATTGTGCTAGGAAATTAAAATGCACATTTGAAGCAGCTGGGAATTCCTTGAGACCAAGGAGAAGTGCTTAGGTGCAAGAACTGTGCCTTGTACCTTCTGCGTTTCTACAGATTGTGTTTCAACCTTTAGCTTGCATCAGAAACATGTAGAAGCCTTGCTAAAGAAAGCTCACACGGTCCAAACCAATAATTTATTTGGTTGTTTTGGTCCTGTATTCTCTGAACAAAATTGCTGCATATCATTTACTTTCCTTAATAAAATAGGGTAAAGGTTTGTGTTGGAATGCACAGATGATATGCATCAAGTGATGCTTGTTCATTTACACATGTGTGAGATGATGTGTCTCTGAAGTGGTTCAGGGAGCAACACACAGACAACAGATCTAATTTTGTTGATATCTCTTTTCTGTCTAGCCAACTGTTTTGTCTATTTTGAGAAACATCTCATTCTTTAAAAGGGTTGCCCTAAATTATGTTACAGCTAATGAAGCAGAGGCAATAATGATGGTGAAAAAAAACTGGTAACATGGAAAATAGGTAACACCCACAAATTCGGGGATTGGCTCTGTGGGCCAAATAAAACTTTTTCACAGAACAGCTCATCTGAAATGAGAGCACATGTTCCACTGTAACAAGACAACATGTCACTGTACTGTTACAGAAGAAGCAATTTAACCAATTTGGAATCTAATCATTTTTTATGCTGGAGAAACTAATGTATCTAAAAGAAAGAATGTCCTAGAACAGTCTGTTTCTGCTCAAATTTCTTTTTCCTAAAGAACATTTTGAAGAAAAAAGAATATACAACATAAAGTAGAATCTAAATATAACATTGACTTATGATAAAAACAAAAGATATCATAAAATAATCTCATCATTAGTAAAATACATTTCATGAATAAAATAGATTTATGAAATAATCAATTTCAAAGACAATGACTCTTAATCATTCCTAGAAGAGTTTATCATTAGCATAATTTAATTGGTGTATTTTTCATTGCATACTAACCATAAACCCAGTATTTTGCTAATTACATACTTTTAACTCTAAATAGGAGTTTATTATTTTACTCTTTAGATTTCCTACAACAATATACTTTGGTTTACTATTTATATGTGTTCATTCACAATGTGTACAGGTGTGATCTGTTTTATACAACAGATGTATTCCTAAAAAGTCTGATTTATGTTAGCATTTGGTGAATTAACAGATATTTTAGGTTTAATATAAGGAATGTGAGCATGTTATTTAAGAAAAACCTATGGAGAATCTCCATATATGAAATACTTTCATAATATGAAAAAAACATCTGGTAAAAGACAAACTTGTGAAATCAGATTCAGATGTTTGCTCAATGATGTGAATGGAGAGAAAGGGGAGAAATAATTAGCAAGTACTTAATCATACCTACAATTCAAAATGGTATTTTACTTAATTTGGTATGAATGAGTCACGTTGTAAAAGAAGTTAGCTAGCAGCGCATGAGGGTTTCCTTGTCAGCAGGTTAGCACACCATCAACATTTTCCTAAGTGCTACCTGTGCTCTAGATACTCTGCTAAAATGGTACATCCCATCTCATTTACGTGTACTAACCCTATGGAATAGATATAATTACAGTCCATATTTTGATTCATTATTTCATTAATAATCACAAAGACTTAGGAATTGTTATCTCTGCCTTAAAGAGGTGAAAAATAAGGCTCAGAGACATTCCATAACTTCAAAGTTCAAAGTGGCATGATCAGAATTTTAACCCAGTGGTAATAATTTTGTTGTATTTTTCCTCCAGTGGTCTTTTGGATGTATTTTGATTTTTTTCTTCAGTTTTATTGGGGTATAATTAATAAATACGAATTTTATATATTTTTAGTATATGACATATTTCAATATACTTATATGGTATGAAATGATTGCCACCATCAAGCTCAGTAACATATCCATCAACTCACATTGTTATCTTTTTTTGTGTGTGCAGAGACCATTTAAGATTTACTCTTAGCAGTTTTCAAGCTTTAAATACGTTATTAACTGTACAAGAGTTCATTTGTATAGTTATCTCTTGATGCTGTACATAAGATCATTTCAAATTATCATTTTAAATTGTGCTGCGTTGAGATCATTATTAAGTAAGTGTGTACTTCCCACTTTAGTGGAAAAATGTGTCCCAAAAGCACAACATCATACCAGAGAAAATAGAATTATCCAAATGCAATCTACAATATAAACATAACATACCTTGGTATTTAGAATCTGAATATTACTTTAACAGTAATTAAGAAGTGTCAAATGCAAATTGCAAGCATAAAAATAACTAACATTTGTTTCCCCTCTCTCCACAATTCTGAAGATCCACTTAATCATCCTTGTGGACTTCACTAGGGTAGGAGGTGGAAAAGCACTGTGATTTTTGTGATGCAAAAGGTAGCAAGCAGTTTGCTGGGAGAGGCAGAGTATCGGAAGAAAATGATTATGATAGGGGACAACATGAGACCTTCTCTGCCCTCTTCAGCCTCCTAAGCAAGGGCCTGATGCATGGGGAATACTCAGCTGCAGAAGCGACTCAGAGATATCAGGTTAAGTTTCAGAAGTCTGTGTGTGTGTGCCTGTTTTATGTCTGTGAAAGGGAGATGGAGGTGGGGGGGTTATTAGTGAAGTATTGTATTACTGCTACAAATACTGAATAAGACGAAATATCAGAGAAAAGCTTGAGATTTCATATCCGTTGCTCTAGTGGGATCCTACTCTTGATCTTGCTGCTAATTGAGTAGCTCTGTGAGCCTTCATAGAACTCCATTCTTTAAACTGAAAAATGAAGTGATTGGATTGAGTAATCTCTAGGTTTACTTTCACATCTAAGATTTTGTGAAATAATATTCTGTAATACTTCTTCACAAACAACTGACCTTTTTTAAAGCAAAATTCTGTGTACTAAGGTATGACTTTTGAGTTTAACTTCCATTTGTTTTAATTATTTGAGGGAAGATCTATCAGCAAATATTAATGAGGTAAAAATGGAAGATTTTCACATTCTCATGTATCATTTGTACTCTTTTTCTATTGCTGAACAATGTTCCAGAGCAAGCAATATTATATATTGTTAGTACTGTCAAGAAAAAAATGTGCCACTTGTGCTAAACTAGTCCAGAGGTTGCCAGTTCATAGTAGTCTCATAAAAGTTGAAAACTTTGTATGATAGGAACATTTTGAACATTGATTACTAAAGTATAACATTTCACTTAAGCAATGATTAAGTGAAAGACTGTACGGCATTGTGAACTGCTAAAATAGGCCACCATCACATGTACAAAAAAAACCCCAAACCAAAAAACAAGCAAACAAACCCTAAACAATCTGAAGCCATAGTTGAGCAGCTACTGTAGAGCTCTATGGTTAATTCTAAGAAGGAAAAGAACAGGCCATCTGTTTCCAGCTAACTGGGGCACTTCCAAATGCTTCTTAAGTCCCAGCTAACAATAGAAAAAAGTGTAACAAAGATTAGGCTCATGGTTAAGTTGGCGGAACATAAACTATGGACCACTGCATTTAACCTTCTTACATAAAATACTTACAATTCAAAATGCTTTCAGATCTGTGCCCCAACATGGGCATTTATTTCATGGATAGTTACTCCAGAGCTTCTCATGAGTTTGTGGGACACACATTTGTGCCTGAGCTCAGAGTATCATCTACAAACAAACCTTTTTAGGCAGTCAGAAAATCTTAATTGAAAGTTCTCATCTCTTGCATTAATCACAACAAAAACATGTTTTAGGAAGACAATTTGGGATAAAAGTAAGTCCAGCCAAATTATTTTATTATTGATATGCTAAAGTTTACATTAATTATCTGCCCCAAATTTCCTTC